CCATGTAGGGTGGTCTTATAGGTTGTGCTACTGAACAGAAGCTAGTACCTGGACCAGCAGGCCATCAAACTACTGGAGAATCCCGAGCTAAGATCGAGGGTCTTTGGAGTAATTCCAGGAAAATCTGCCTGTGAATCAACCCCTGGAAGGTAACTAAGCCTATGCGCTATCCCCTCATGCCTAAACCCCTTACCAACGGGTGAGATGCGATGCAGTGTGGTGCTGGCAGCTGACTGTTCGCTGGTGCAGCATGATGCGTGCACTGCATCCACACCATGAACCTCGCGCCATGCCCCATGCCCCATGCCCATGGGCCCATCCTCATGAGGCATGGCAGATGCACCATGTTATGCTCCTACCCCATGCCCCATGTCATGCTCCTACCCCATGCCCCATGTCATGCTCCTACCCCATGCACCATGTCATGCTCCTACCCCATGCCCCATGTAATGCTTCTACCCCATGCCCCATGTCATGCTCCTACCTCATGCCCCATGTCATGCTCCTACCCCATGCCCCATGTCATGCTCCTACCCCATGCACCATGTCATGCTCCTACCCCATGCACCATGTCATGCTCCTACCCCATGCACCATGTCATGCTCCTACCCCATGCACCATGTCATGCTCCTACCCCATGCACCATGTCATGCTCCTACCCCATGCACCATGTCATGCTCCTACCCCATGCACCATGTCATGCTCCTACCCCATGCCCCATGCCTCATGCCCGTGCCCCACAGGACGTGCCTACAGGTGAGATGCCGCGCGGTGTGCTGCTGCCGGTGGATCACTCACTGGTGCAGCGCAACATGTGTGCACTGCATGCACACCATGCCCCTTTCCGCATGGACCATGCATTGTGTGTGTGGCATGTGCCTTGCCCTGTGCACCACACCACGCTCCATATGACCCGCAGGACGTGCCAACGGGTGAGATGCCGCGCGGTGTGCTGCTGGCAGTGGACCGCTCATTGGTGCAGCATGATGCTTGCAGTACCTTTACTCCATGAAGCTTGCCCCACATGCCCCATGGCCCATTGCCCCATGCCCCATGCCCATTGCCCCATGCCCATTGCCCCATGCATGTTGCCCCATGCCCATTGGCCCATGCCCATTTCCCCGTGCCCATTGGCCCGTGCCCATTCCCATTGCCCCGTGCCCGTTGCCCCATGCTTATTGCCCCATGCCCATTGCCCCATGCCCATTGCCCCATGCCCATTGCCCCGTGCCCGTTGCCCCGCGCTCGTTGCCCCATGCCCGTTGCCCCATGCCCGTTGCCTTTTACACATTGCCCCGTGCCCATTGCCCCATGCCCGTTGCCTTTTACACATTGCCCCATGCCCATTGCCCCATGCCCGTTGCCTTTTACACATTGACCCGTGCCCATTGGCCCATGCCCATTGCCCCGTGCCCATTGCCCCATGCTCGTTGCCTTTTACACATTGCCCCGTGCCCATTGCCCCATGCCTGTTGCCTTTTACACATTGCCCCGTGCCCATTGCCCCATGCCCGTTGCCTTTTACACATTGCCCCGTGCCCATTGCCCCATGCCCGTTGCCTTTTACACATTGCCCCGTGCCCATTGCCCCATGCCCGTTGCCTTTTACACATTGCCCCGTGCCCATTGCCCTATGTTCCCTAGGATGTGCCAACAGGTGGGATGGAGCGACAGTGTGCTGTTGGTGCAGCGCATGATGTGTTCACTGCTTGCACACCATGAATTATGCTGCATGCATCAGGCACTGTGTACCATGTGCCTTGCCCCATGCCCTACACCACACCCCATGCGCCCTGCAGGACGTGCCAACGGGTGAGATGTCATGCGGTGTGCTGCTGGTGGTGGACCACTCATTAGTGCAGCATGATGTGTGCGCTGCCCATTGCCCACTGCCCTGTGCACCACACCACACCCCATGTGCCCTGCAGGATGTGCCAACGGGTGAGATGTCACGCGGTGTGCTGCTGGCGGTGCACCGCTCATTGGTGCAGCATTATGTGTGCACTGCCCGGTGCATACCATGTGCCTTGTCGCATGCCCCCATAACCCCCACACTCACCACTCCCAGGACGCGCCAATGGGTGAGATGCTGCACAGTGTGCTACTAGCGGTGGACTGCTGGCTGGTGCAGCGCATTTCCCCAGCACATGCATCACCATGGCCAGCATCTGCAACATCTTCTAGGCGTCTGATAAAGCCAAGTGAGAGTGAGATGGATGGTAGGGGGGTAAGTGAATGTGGGGAGGAGTCTAAGCGAGATGGGTGGTGGCTAGGCGACTGAGTGAGTGTGCAGACAACAGCAAGTGATATGGCTGCTGGCGTAGGGTGTATGGGGACAAGGCCATGTGCATGTGGGGACAATGCTCCCTCATCCTCGTCCCTCTAGCTGGCCACTTCCGTCCTCCCCTCGCCACCCCTCCCCTCACCACCCTTTCCCTGGCCCATTCATGCTTCCTCATGCCTCCCTCACCCTCCTCTTCCCGTTTCCCCTCTCCGTTGCCTTTTCCCCAAAATCCACCCATCCTGCACGGCGTGGGCATCCGCAGTGGGCACCACTGTGCGCAGCCCATTCACCAGCAGCTAGGCATCAATGCGAGTGCACGGGCGAGCGCGTACGTGTACAACACAAAGGAGGAGATAGACATGTTCATCGTCTCGCCGGGCTCAAGGAAACCATTGACTTCTTTGTCAAATTTTCGCAATTCAAATACTCAAGAGATTCTCAAAATGACCCGTGTCTTCCACCCTGCAAGTTCCTATGGTTTGAGAAATAAGGGAGGGAAGGGGAGATGGATGGGGAGTAGAGGAGTGAGTAGGGAGCAAACGATGAAAGTTGGGGCAAGAGTGGTGTGACGGCACGTAAAAGCATCAAATCACCAGTGCTTGCTTCATGCACCTGCCCTGGTAATGCAGGTTGGCAGGAAGGCACTCCTCTCCTCTCACCAACTCCTGCAGACCTCACCACTGCCATCTCTGAGAGGCTGTAGCCCTCACTCACACAGGTACGTGCCAGAGTTGAGGCAAATTCTGGGGCAAATTCCTCAGATCAGTGACATGTTCCCGTGCCTCCAGAGGTTTTCCAGTTGTACCGTATGCTGGTGGTGAGTTGCAAGCATGGCATGTGAATAGCAATTTTGTCAATGCTGACCAAATTGGGTCTGGTGCTCCTTGGGCCGTATCCATGCCCAACCCAACCCATCCTCCTGCATACATTGCCATAGTTCTGAATAACGTACTCAAACAGTGTGTGTTGCTAGAAAGGCATGCTCTGCCTTGCATGCATACGGTACCGTAACAGCGTTGCCCTGCTCCGATGTGGTTGTGCTGAAACATGATAGATAGGTAACGTAACGTATATACTACCATCATCAGGCAATAACAGACACACAACACACACAAACCAACCCACCCAACCCAAAAACCACAACATACTACCGTACTAAACAACCATCACATCATACCCCAAAAAGAAGGCACACTGTGAACAAACTCTACCTCATTTCCCCCCAGCTGCTGCCCACTCCCCGCCCTGCTTCAGCTCAGTCGCACTTCTCGCGGCACTTCTGATCCTTCCTGTCGCACTTGCGGCTGTTGTGATGATTGTCCTCATAGCACTCATCCAGCTTCTCATCACACTTCTCGGTGCACTCCTGCTGGCAATCATTGAACGCATCATTCGCGTCCCACTCGCAATCGCCGCGCTTCTCTGTGCATTTCTGCTCCTGCCGCCAGTCCCACGCGCGACCAATGCAGTCGGTTTCCTTGTCCTGGCACCGCTGCAGCTTTGTATTGTACTTGTCAGAGCATGTAGTGGAGCTGTAAAGCACCCGCCTCCTGACTATAGCGGGGGATGCAACGCTCGCGAATGGAGCTCGTGCACCTGCAGGGGAAATAGGTAAACTTATTTTTCATTACGGGTTTATAAAGGTACACCATCGCTGATCTGTTAATTCTTTGAACTTTCTGGGTAATTGGGAAAGTTGGCCGTACCTTGAGCAGAAGGGAAGCTGGAGATGGTGAGGAGAGCGGCGAGCAGGAAGAGGAGGGAAGCAACGAAAAACTTTCCGAATGCCATGGTAACGTCAGTTTCCTCTTAGTCGAAAGGAATGTTACGGATGTGAGCTGCAGAACCCTAAAGTAGGCGAGTAGAAGGTGGATAAGGAAGTGACTGGAATCTGGAATACTCGAATCTTGGCTGCGAATGGCCAACAATCCGAGCGTCTTTCGTTTAAATATACAGCAACGCGACTGGAGCCGTCGGGGACAGTACAGCATTCCAGTACCAATTGGCCTCATCCATTGCGTCTTTCGGAGCACCAATGGCACCGAGCCGCCACCAAGAAACATCGTGTAAGCACCAGCGGCTCGGCCCATCAAGCTATCATCACGAAAGATCCTGGGAGCTCCAGCCACTTTGGACCTCCACCCGTTTGGCACTTGGAGGCATGAGGCCAACCCACTCGGCCGAGCTCGCCGGGTGTGGCGTCGCTGCTTCAGCAAAAAGTTTCGGGGAAACTAGAAAAACAGGGATTCAAGAATTCTGCTTAGGTCAAAGCATCATCATCGCCAGATGGCGTCCGCCCACGTTCTTATTGAAATTGCTTCTTGCTGAATTGGAGAAGAAAGCACCATCAGCAGTTTCTGAGCGCAGGAGAGGGAGCGAGAAGAAACCCGTATTCCCTGCTGAGGTGGTGAAACTGCTTTGACCGGACTGGAAGTTCCTGAACTCCTCGTTGGCAACTCCGTACTCCTCGTTGGCAACGCTGTATCGCTGGCAACTCGGTACTTGTTGGCAACTCTCTTGTCCTCGGCAACTCTGTACTCCTTGTTGGCTGCGGCGATAAAAAACTTGATTCCGAAGCTGATATGTTTTTGTAGACGACGGTCCATATTTGTCCCTCGTGGGTTCACAAAATAATATTTTGAACCGAGTGTAACCTTGTTTGGCGTAAAGGGGGAGCTGGGGGGAAATGATACACGGAAGTGGCGTGGGGGGGAAAATGGAGGGGAATGTTTCGAGTGCGTGTTGCGGCACTGGGTTGGCAGGTTTTTTCCCCTGCTCTTCCTTACCCCCGCCCCCCTTTTTCGGCAGCGCGCCGTTGTATTTGTCTTTCGCACGCTGAGATTGGTTTCGCACTTTTCGCCCAGCCCTTTTGTTTTCGCCAACATCTGTCAGCAGGTCCACCAGCACAAATACGTACCCAGGTTGTTCAGCCACACATAGTTCCTAGTCAGTGACTGTTATAGCTAAGAAAAGCTAAGACTCCACCTCCATTACTCCGCCCATCCTCGCCCTTTCGCCTTCCCCTCTTCCACCATCCCTTTCTCCCTCTATTAATCCGTTCCGTCCGATCCGTCGCCCTAGCTTTCCGCTAGCCTGAGTTCTCGTTTCCACTCCACGTCGCGGGCCATGCCCATTCTAGCGCTTATGCCCATCGTCGCCCTGGTTTCACTTCCCCATCGCCCACCGCATAGAAATTGCTTCTATTCCTAGCCCGCCGTCCTCTCTGTCCATCCCATCGCATTTCGCTTTTCGTTTTTTCCCCTTTTTTTAAAAAGGATTCGTCGCCATCGCTTGCAACCCGTCGCGTACGCGCAGTCCCGTCCAAAGCCCACGCTCACTCCCTTCCATCGCCCACGATCTCTGCCCTCGAACGAGCACGCTCCCTCCCCTCCCGTCGCCTTCGCGCACTCCCCTCTCGTCGCACACGCTCACTCCCCTCCGTCGCCCACGCTCACTGCCTTCCCGTCGCCCACGATCACTCCCCTCCGTCGCCCATGCTCAATCCCTTCCGTCGCCCACGCGCACTCCGCTCGAACGAGCACGCTCACTCCCCTTCCGTCGCCCACGCTCACTCCCCTCCGTCGCACACGCTCGCCCACGCATCCCCATCCCGTCGCACCATTCCTTCGTTTCCCCCATCCGCGCTACCTCACATGTCTCTGTTCCAACCGTCCTCCTTCCTCATTCCCTCCCTCCCTCCCTCCATCCCTCCCTGACTCCTCGCCACCATCCGCCCTGCCAACCTACCTCCCTTCCTCATTTCCTCCAGTTCTCCCTACCTTCCTCCCGTTCTCCCATCTCGTCTCCCCACGCTCTCCTCTCTCAGCTTCCCCCGTGCTTCCTTCTCATCTCCTCTCTTTCTCCCGTCTCATCCCCTCACGTGCTCCCTAACTCATTTCCTCTCTTGCTCCTTCTCATCTCCTCATGCTCTCTCGTCTCATCTCCTCACGCTCTCCCTCCCTTCTCATCTCCTCATGCTCTCCCTTCTCATCTCCTCATGCTCTCCCTTCTCATCTCCTCATGCTCTCCCTTCTCATCTCCTCATGCTCTCCTTCTCGTCTCCTCATGCTCTCCCTTCTCATCTCCTCATACTCTCCCTTCTCATCTCCTCATGCTCTCCCTTCTCATCTCCGCATGCTCTCCTTCTCATCTCCTCATGCTCTCCTTCTCATCTCCTCATGCTCTCCCTTCTCATCTCCTCGTGCTCTCCCTTCTCATCTCCTCATGCTCTCCTTCTCATCTCCTCATGCTCTCCCTTCTCGTCTCCTCATGCTCTCCTTCTCATCTCCTCATGCTCTCCTTCTCGTCTCCTCATGCTCTCCCTTCTCATCTCCTCATGCTCTCCTTCTCGTCTCCTCATGCTCTCCCTTCTCATCTCCTCATGCTCTCCTTCTCGTCTCCTCATGCTCTCCTTCTCATCTCCTCATGCTCTCCTTCTCGTCTCCTCATGCTCTCCCTTCTCATCTCCTCATGCTCTCCTTCTCGTCTCCTCATGCTCTCCCTTCTCATCTCCTCATGCTCTCCCTTCTCATCTCCTCATGCTCTCCCTTCTCATCTCCTCATGCTCTCCCTTCTCATCTCCTCATGCTCTCCTTCTCATCTCCTCATGCTCTCCTTCTCGTCTCCTCATGCTCTCCCTTCTCATCTCCTCATGCTCTCCCTTCTCATCTCCTCATGCTCTCCTTCTCGTCTCCTCATGCTCTCCCTTCTCATCTCCTCATGCTCTTCTTCTCATCTCCTCATGCTCTCCTTCTCGTCTCCTCATGCTCTCCCTTCTCATCTCCTCATGCTCTCCCTTCTCATCTCCTCATGCTCTCCTTCTCATCTCCTCATGCTCTCCCTTCTCATCTCCTCATGCTCTCCTTCTCATCTCCTCATGCTCTCCTTCTCATCTCCTCATGCTCTCCTTCTCGTCTCCTCATGCTCTCCCTTCTCATCTCCTCATGCTCTCCCTTCTCATCTCCTCATGCTCTCCCTTCTCATCTCCTCACGCTCTCCCTTCTCATCTCCTCACGCTCTCACGCTCTCATTGCCTCATTGCCTCATTGCCTCATTGCCTCATTGCCTCATTGCCTCATCGCCTCATTGCCTCATTGCCTCATTGCCTCATTGCCTCATTGCCTCATTGCCTCATTGCCTCATTGCCTCATTGCCTCATTGCCTCATTGCCTCATTGCCTCATTGCCTCATTGCCTCATTGCCTCATTGCCTCATTGCCTCATTGCCTCATTGCCTCATTGCCTCATTGCCTCATTGCCTCATTGCCTCATTGCCTCATCGCCTCATCGCCTCATCGCCTCATTGCCTCATCGCCTCATCGCCTCATCGCCTCATCGCCTCATCGCCTCATCGCCTCATTGCCTCATTGCCTCATTGCCTCATTGCCTCATTGCCTCATTGCCTCATTGCCTCATTGCCTCATTGCCTCATTGCCTCATCGCCTCATCGCCTCATTGCCTCATTGCCTCATTGCCTCATTGCCTCATTGCCTCATTGCCTCATTGCCTCATTGCCTCATTGCCTCATTGCCTCATTGCCTCATTGCCTCATCGCCTCATTGCCTCATTGCCTCATTGCCTCATTGCCTCATCGCCTCATCGCCTCATCGCCTCATTGCCTCATTGCCTCATAGCCTCATAGCCTCATCGCCTCATCGCCTCATTGCCTCATTGCCTCATTGCCTCATTGCCTCATTGCCTCATTGCCGCATCGCCTCATCGCCTCATCGCCTCATTGCCTCATTGCCTCATTGCCTCATTGCCTCATCGCCTCATTGCCTCATTGCCTCATTGCCTCATTGCCTCATTGCCTCATTGCCTCATTGCCTCATTGCCTCATTGCCTCATTGCCTCATTGCCTCATCGCCTCATTGCCTCATTGCCTCATTGCCTCATTGCCTCATTGCCTCATTGCCTCATCGCCTCATCGCCTCATCGCCTCATTGCCTCATTGCCTCATTGCCTCATTGCCTCATTGCCTCATTGCCTCATTGCCTCATTGCCTCATCGCCTCATCGCCTCATTGCCTCATTGCCTCATTGCCTCATTGCCTCTTTGCCTCATTGCCTCATTGCCTCATCGCCGCATTGCCTGATTCGCTTTGCATCAGGAGGCTGCGTGTCGTTCTACTGGATGTGTGATCTCCAGATTGCTGCCCATTCAATGTCCGCCTGGCAGGTGCTGTGTGCAACGCTCATCCCAATCCTTCAGCACATGTATAACCTCGAATGTGGCATGTGCATGTTGTATGGCGTGTGGCATGTGGCGTATGGCGTTTGGCACGGCATGTGGAATGGGGCGTGGCATGTATCGTCACATGCTGCGTGCATCAGGTGCGGCGAGTGCTGCTCATCATGGTGGCACGGGGGGAGGTGGAGAACCGGCGACTGAGGAGGGTCATATACCGCAAGGTCTGACCGCCGCTCTCACCGCTGCACTCACTTGCATTGGCAATCTAAAAACAATGCAAAACCACTGGTTCTACGCTTTAGTTGTTTTTAGTTCAACCTTGTAGCTTCAGCTGTGTTCGCCAAGTAGCTAACAGGCAAATGATGAGTAAGGTGTTTGCAGCTGACAAAGGTTGTTTTATCCATTAATGAAACAAGAAACACTATAAACAAGTCGGTGTAGTTTAGTGGTTAGAATCCCACGTTGTGGCCGTGGAGACCTGGGCTCGAATCCCAGCACCGACAGCTTTTATCCATACTGGTTGACGTTTGCAGCTGCTGTTTGAGTGTATTAGAACTCTCCCTCCTCTTCTGTTGTTGCGCCTCGTTTGCTTACCAACTTGAATCAAATTTCTATTATTGAGAAAGTTTGCTTCTGTAGCAATTGGCATCGTTCTCATTACAATGGGCTCAAGTACAATAGTTCATAGCAATAATTTAGATGTAAGAACAAAACAAGATGTGTATTGTTGGGAAAATAAACGCATGACTTGGTGCGTTTCTGTAGTATCGAACCTCACCCGATACTGAAGCACAACAAAAGGAGTACGAAGTCGAAAAGGCGCGTACCACATCAAACCGCAACTAGAGGTTGCGAGCTGTAACCGCCTGGAGGTTACGTAACAGCAAGCGACGCTTCAGTGAACAGTAACCACCTCGATAGTCGAAGCGTTACGCGTCTCGATAAACATAACCGTTCCTTGTAATCTATCTTTTCTATATATTCCTGTATGCCCTTTGCTTTAATCAATTACTTGTTCTCACATACCAGCACAAGTACATTCACTCAAGACTTCCGCTGTGCTACTCTAGCACTTACTAGCCTATTCTCTGCAAAGATCCTAAGGCTGAAATTCTCAGCCCAACATGGTATGAGAGCAGTCAGAAAACAAAGGCTCTCGTCATTAAGCCTCTTTCAGGCTACCAATCTGCAAACGACCAAGAAGTTCAACCTTCACTCAAGAAAGGCAAGACATGGCAAGTGGCAAAGAAAGAAGATCATATACGGGATCTACTCTACCCCCGGTCTCCGAGTTGCAGACCGAAGGAGGAACAACGCCCGGATTAACACCGGAAGCGACGGAACGCTCTACTCAAGCACCAGTAGCGCCGCCAATCTTCAACCCAAGCCTAATGGAGGAGTTCTTCAACTTCATGTCGCAGCAGCAGTCCTCACAACCTGCAAACAGCAACAGCGTAAACAACGGAGCGGCACCAATGAGTATTGACAACTCATCGTTCGGACGACATAATCAACAAACACCAAATTCGGTCTCACCTGGTTCCTTCACGTTCATGCCGCCCCGCCATCCAGCGACTCCTCTTCCCGCCATCAAACGAGACACCGAAGAAGTCCTGCAAGTACAAGCACAGTTCAACAACATCCTACGATTGCACACATCCACACCATTCAACGGGAAGGACTTCTACTCTTGGAGCTTCGAATTTGAACTCCTGATGGAAGGCGCGAATCTTCTTGGCTTCTTCAACGGTACCTGGCCATATCCACACAACGGCGAAGACAAGGACAAAGAAAATTATACGTATCACTCCCTCATGGCTTACACCGTTCTTCTCCGAAACCTGTCGCCGAATGAACAACAAAGCATCCGCGCCTACCGGAACTACGCAAACTCCGCGGAACTCGCTTATCAACATCTGCGAAGTATTCATCAAGCATCCGACAGCGTTACGCAAAGCCGACTCATGGCACAACTAACAACAGTTCAAATGCAACCTGGAGAAAAGGCCATGCCTTACATCAGTCGCTGTCAAGGACTACGCGACAGACTCATTCGCTGCGGAGGAAACTTATCTGAAGAAGCTTTCGTAACCGTCGTTCTTGCCGGCCTTGGACCTCAGTGGCGCACCACCCGCTCACTTCTTCGCGCTCACGGTCGACTCTCCGAAATGCATCTCTGCGCCGAACTTCACGCCGAGCAGCAGGAAATGGACCTGTTCGAAGAACGCAACAACAAAAGGCATCATCAACCAATCGTTCTTTACACCAATCGACGACAGCCACGCTACCAAAATCGAGGACACGTACCTCCCTATTGTCATCTTTGTCGGACTTCAGGACACACACGCTTCAACTGCCAGGCAACAACGACAACCAGCACCATTCTCTCGTCCTCTGCGACCAGTGCCTCCCCACATCGCGTCAACTCAACAACGACCCGCTACCGCCTCAACGACTACTTCAACACGACCGTCAACCTCCACTTCGGGACCTGCACAGACACCAAGAATCGTCGCCATGGCACGAACAACAGAGTCAAACATCGACTCGTGCATTACCGGCTCTCCACCAACTTAAAGTCCTGATGAGCAACCACCACCACCACCGTCGTCCCTTAACGTGAATCCAACGTACGCCGCCATCGCGAACCGTGCACCCACCGGACCAGACACATGGTTCCTCGACAGTTGTTGCGGTCATCACATGTGCTCTTCATCACGATTTCTTCAGCGCGAACGACGTCTTCCGCGAGACGTCATCATCACCATCGCCAACAACGAAAACCTGCGCACCAACAAACAAGGAGTCGTGGAGCTTCAGTCAAACGAAACAAACGTTATTCTTCAATTAAACAAAGTACTCGTCGTCGACAACCTCGGCTTTAACTTACTGAGCGTCAGCCAACTCATGTCGAAAGGCGTTCACCTGGAGTGCGACTCCGACGCCCTGGAAATCCGTCTTTACCACGGAAAAGGGGGGGTCTTCATCGGCCGTGCAATCCAACAAGATGACGTGTTCGTCCTCGACTTCGTCCCCGACAAAGGCACCGCAGACAGCGACGGCATAGTCGCTCTCGCACCTTGGACGCATCCGCCAGACCTCGACCCGAACTTCAGACCTGAAGGCTTCTGGTACTCTCGTACCATTCCCGAAGCTGAACGCACCAACGCGCTTGCCGTCCTGCAAACACAAGCCACAACACCTGAGTCAGCACCCGTCATCGAAACAACAACTGCACCCGTCACAACACCAACAACCTCCGAACCTGCAATTGAAGAACCAACCGTCGTCGCGGAACAACCTTCCGAAACCCTACAGCTCGGTCCCTCCGTTGCACCTCCACCTCTCATCATCGACACGCCACCGACAGCCGCCCAACAGTTAACGCCAGCACCACGCGCCGTCCATCGAAGTGCAGCAACTCACGCCGCCTTCTTCGCTAACGCAGACTTCTATCGACGCTCCGTAGGTCACAGCGCCTCCGAAGACATATGGCATCAACGTCTTGGACATCCTGGAAACACAACACTCTACAATACAATACGAGCCGGAGTGTTAGACAAGAACGCCCTACTTCTTCCCAACGGACGAGAACTCGAACGACCACGCGGCACCTGCTTCATCTGCCCGGAAGCAGATCTGCCTCACCAACCGTTCCCGTCACACCACAATCCGAGCGCCCCCGCTTATCAACCACTCGAGAAAGTCTACAGCGACATACTATACATACCTCGAACGGAAAGACGTGAAGATCTGAACTACGTCATCACCTTCATCGACGCCGCAACGCGATATGTCTGGCACGTCAACTTACCGTCACGAGACATGGCTCTAGAAGCCTTCACAGCCTGGCTACCTGTTGCTGAAAGAGAGTCAGGAGCGAAACTGAAGAGTTTTCAGTCAGATGGCGCAAAGGAGTACCAGTCAAACAGCTTCACACAGTTCTTGGCAGAAAGAGGCATCAAACGCCTCATCTCTCTTCCTTACGCTCACCAACAGCAGGGTGTGGCAGAAAGGATGAACAGGACCCTGCAGACAACCATGCGAAAGCTGCTACGTGGAACTCGACTGCCCAACTCAGAATGGCCAGCAGCGATGGACCACGCTGTCCTCCTGCACAACTTGCTGTCCTCGTCATCACTGCCCAACAACGCATCTCCGCACCTGTTGTGGACTGGGAAGCTGGGCAACACAAAAATGTTACGAGTTTTTGGGTGTATGGTACAGTACCGCCCACACACTGCACGCGCAGGGAGATTCTCACAACGTGCACAGTGGGGTCTACACCTCGGGCTGGCAAAATATTACGAAGCATGGCGAATCTTCGACGTCCACACAAAGGAAACAGTAGCAGCACGTGACGTTATCTTCTACGAGCGACTCACCCTCAACCATTACCTGGACAACATCGCACGCCACGTCGACCCCACCAGCGGATTTTCTGGTTCCCGAGCCTTCGCTTCACCCTCCGATGCTGCTGACTGGGAAGAAGAGAATGTCGACGGCGCTTCCGAAGCTGCTGGACCCCTTCCTTACTGCTCCGTCCCAATCCCCATGGACGAGGAAAACCCTCGCGACAGTAACAATGCCGACGCCTACTACCATTTCGCCGACAATGGTTACGTAACACCCCAACCCGTCAACACCGACATCTCTGAAAGATACGGCCCCGGATTCGCACCTGATCCTGAAGCGGGAGACGAAGCAGTCTATCCCGAGGACCCTTTGCTGAATCGTCACACCCCCAGCGGACTCCAAGTCCTGGGACTCGTCGCTGCAGTGCACGGGCCTTCGTCGCCACCTGAAGAGCCTCGCTCTGTCAAGCAGGCTCTGGGGGGGGAACACAAAGAAAAATGGCGCGAAGCCATGGAAAAGGAGTTAAAAGCGCTCTCAGACCACAACACCTGGAAGATCGTCCCTGCATCACTCGCACAAGACAAACCCATTCTCTCCGGAAAATGGGTATTCCGGATCAAAACCAACTCCGACGGAACCATCGAACGGTTTAAAGCTCGATGGGTCGTCCGCGGATTCGACCAAGAGTATGGTCCCGATTTCACTGAAACCTTCGCACCAGTCAGTCGACATACTTCCCTGCGCATACTCCTCGCCATCGCCGCCTCACGCCGCCGCCCACTCCGACAAATCGATGTCGCCAACGCCTTTCTATACGCCCCAGTCGACGCTGAAATCTTCGTCGAATAGCCCCACGGGTTCGTCGACGACCCTTCCCTCGTCTGCCAGCTACTAAAATCACTATATGGAATTAAGCAGGCACCGCGACTCTGGCAGCAGTACCTGCACGCACGACTCAAACGCATCGGATTCAACCAACTGCCCCATGACCAGGGCATGTATCGTCTCACTCGCGACAACGACTACGTTCTGCTAATCGTCTACGTCGACGATTTGCTTTACATCGGGTCAACTACCACCATCGTCACCTGGTTCGAAAAGGAGCTTCAGACAGATCTCTCCCTCACAGTCTCACCCAACGTCACGCAGTATCTAGGGCTCAACATCCTCGATGAAGACAACACTATTCGTCTCAGCGCCTCAAAATACGCAAGCACTATCGCCGAACGCTTCTGCATCACACCGACGCACATCGCAACACCCTACAGTCACCTATCGCTCGATCCAACCGAAGAAACCAACTCACTGCCGCCTGCTGAAATCCAGGAATATCAACAGAAACTGGGCTGCCTACTCTTTGCCGTCGTTACGTGCCGACCGGACTTATCCTACAGCGCCAGTCAACTAGCGACCTACCTCAAGCGCCCAGAACAACGTCACCTCAAGGAACTCAACCGTGCCCTTCTCTACTTCATCTCGACGCCAACAGTTGGCTTAACATATAACAAGAACACGACGACCGACCTAAAACTACTCGGCTACGTCGACGCTGATCATGCTGCTGATCGTGTCGATCGTCGCTCTCGCACCGGCTACATCTACCGTCTTGAGCCCGTCGGAACTATCTCCTGGCAATCAAGTAAGCAGGAACTCGTCGCACTATCATCTGCTGAAGCAGAGTATATTGCTCTCTGCACTGCTACCAAGGAGGGCCTGTACCTGCGCGAACTGCTGGAAGAAGCGAAAATTGCGAAAGTACCCACCTTCTCGCTTTTCTGCGACAACCAGTCCGCGATACGGATCGCGAACAAGAATGGCTTCGCCAACAGTGTCAGAATATTATCTTATTGTTCTAGCCTGTAGTGGGGTGCTCTATAGCGAGTACAACCCTTCTAGGGTTTGCTATTTGTATCCTCATTCTTGCTAGTTCAATCCTCTTTCTTCCTTCTAACTTTTGTCATGCTATCAGAGCAGGTCGATCCCCTTGGATCGATCCTGTGGGTGTGTCCCCACCTTGCTTCCGCTGCTACTTTTTCATCCCGCCGTGCGCCCCGAGGCGCGCGGCGGTTTTCTGCCCGCCGTGCGCCCCGAGGCGCGCGGCGGTTCATTGCCCGCTGTGCGCCCCGGGGCGCGCGGCGGGCTTCTCCTCTACGTCGCGGCCCCGCCCCGGCCCGTCGCCGCCCGTGCGCCCGCTCGACGCGGCCCGCCCTTCGTCGCGGACCCGCCCCGGCCCGTCGCCGCCCGTGCGCGTGCCCGGCTCGGCCCCGCCCTTCGTCGCGGACCCGCCCCGGCCCGTCGCCGCCCGTGCGCGTGCCCGGCTCGGCCTCGCCCTTCGTCGCGGACCCGCCCCGGCCCGTCGCCGCCCGTGCGCCTGCCCGTCGCGGCCCCGCCCTATGTCGCGGCCCCGCCCCTCGAAGCGGCCCCGCCTTACGTCGCGGCCCCGCCCCGCTCGTCGCGGCCCCGCCCCTTGTCGCGGCCCCACCCTCCAACCAGGCTCGTGGTGGGCCCCTTTCACCACACCGCCTCCCCCCCCCCCCCCCCCCCCTGCCATTTCCCGTCGCCCGTCGCGGCTCCTTCGGGGGCCGCAAGCGGCCCCCTCAGGTCGCCACGACGGACGACGGGAGGGCAAGCTGTGGGGTGGCGGGTATGGGGGTGGTCGGTGTGCCTTCCTCCCTTTCTCCTCCTCCTCCTTCGTCTCCCACTGCTGCAGCTGTCGCTGAGGGGGGTGGTTGTGTGGGAGACTGGGGTTTAGGGTTTTAGGGGGGTGCGTGGGAGTAGAGCTAGTGGTGTAGCAGTGGGTGTGTATCAGGGGGGTGGGACTGTGTGCGGGAGGATGAGCGGAGGTTGCCAGTTTGTCGTCAGCAGCACCTGTAGTCCGGGGCGCTGTCCCGGTAGCCCAGTCGTAGCCAGCTGTGCCAGCCGCCCGTGGGTCCGTTGCCCGTCCGCCGCTATTTGAGCCGCGGGGCCTGTTACCCCTGTAGTCCGGGCGCTGTCCGGTAGCCGCTGTGCCAGTCTGCCTCCTGTTGCCCGTGTGTCTGCAGCTTCAGCCGTCGCCTCCTGTCTCCTCTCCCCTCACTCTCCCTCCTCCTCCTCACTTGCCCGTTGTGACTACCACTAGCTTTGCTTATAATTGTAAACTCTAAACTATTTCTTCTTGAACTTGTGCTCAGAATGTGTGGTGACATTGTGATCCACCCTGAGCTTGTTTTGCTTTGCCTGCTCTGCTGATTACACCCCACTTTGGCTATGGGGGTGTGTCAGAATATTATCTTATTGTTCTAGCCTGTAGTGGGGTGCTCTATAGCGAGTACAACCCTTCTAGGGTTTGCTATTTGTATCCTCATTCTTGCTAGTTCAATCCTCTTTCTTCCTTCTAACTTTTGTCAAACAGAACCAAGCATATCGCACTGCGATACTTCTTCGTGAAAGACGAAATTGAGAAAGGAAAACTCCAGCTGGATTACTGCCCGACCACCGAGATGGCAGCAGATTATCTCACCAAGAAGCTACCAAAGGGAAAATTCGAGTACTGCATGCTACTCACCGGATTGGACCACGTCACCGAAGCTGACCACGTCGACACTCCAGAAACGAAGGGGAGTGTTGGGAAAATAAACGCATGACTTAGTGCGTTTCTGTAGTATCGAACCTCACCCGATACTGAAGCACAACAAAAGGAGTACGAAGTCGAAAAGGCGCGTACCACATCAAACCGCAACTAGAGGTTGCGAGCTGTAACCGCCTGGAGGTTACGTAACAGCAAGCGACGCTTCAGTGAACAGTAACCACCTCGATAGTCGAAGCGTTATGCGTCTCGATAAACATAACCGTTCCTTGTAATCTATCTTTTCTATATATTCCTGTATGCCCTTTGCTTTAATCAATTACTTGTTCTCACATACCAGCACAAGTACATTCACTCAAGACTTCCGCTGTGCTACTCTAGCACTTACTAGCCTATTCTCTGCAAAGATCCTAAGGCTGAAATTCTCAGCCCAACATGTATGTAGGAACTATTACTTTGCAAGGGTGACTAGCCTGGGGAGGGTGGGTGGGAATTGAACTTGAGCGATTGTAAAAATGAGAGACGTGGGTGGGGGAAGAATGACCCCAACCCACATTATATATTCGGAGAAGGCGGATAGCGTGCTTCGACGATGCTCAAAATTGCGTTACAGTCAGTTTCGCTTTCACAACACACAAATTTGAAAGCGATGAATGCTTAGAAATTTTTCATTTCACCATTCTTACCATACTGTATTGATGTATTTTGGTTTTGCCAAATGCCTAGTGTAGCTGACACTTGCAGCACACCCAGTACCAGTAAGTTTGATACTGGATGGAACACTAACAGATACGGATTTCAAGGGGCAAGGTCGGCAGCTGATTAAGCTTCTAGCGCGGACCACCCTTCTGCTGTAGAACTTTAAGGCCAACTCTGGGAAAATATATTATCAAGAACAACAAAAAACTGTAACACGAATGTCTGAACCCGGAATCGAACCGGAGACCTCCAGTGTGTGAGACTGGCGTGATAACCGACTACACCATCCAGACGTATTTATCACTCTAATTTGTTTACTAAATCATCGCGTAAACATGATTCCAAAAATCATTTTTTGACACCGATGACGTGGCGCCAAATCTGTTCTCTTGGGAATGCTGCTGATGTGGTGGAGAACAGCACAAGCCACGCCCAGCACTGGCCCCTTTCACATGCCTCGTTTCTCTTGCCCATCCCTCACCGTTTCAAAGCAATCAACCTCGCTGCTTGTGCACAGATTTCTGTTCTTCCTCCTTGCTTCCTCGCTGCTTCCAGACCAGTGCACTGGTCGCCGCCATCCGCCTCTGCTTGCTAGCTGCCGCTGCGCCAACGGTTCACACGCCCTGCCTGCTCGTCCGCTCGCTGCGCGCTGACGTGGAATGGCTTCCATGGCTGCCACGGCGGTGGCTGATTGCCGCACATTGCGGTGTATAGGTAGGTTACGATGACGCGCCGCCGCATGTCATGTACTCGCGCCGCGTTCTATGTAGCATCGCAGCCGCATTGGCACCTGCAATTGTCGCTCGCAATAATCGCTCCGCTGAGATCCACGTCGCTTCGTGGCTTCACGCGGGTTCATTCGTTCGCCATTTCCGCCCATCTCGCCATGCCCCCGACTCTTTATCTCATTCCGCGAATTCCGCGTACTTCGCCATCCCCGTTCGTACATTGTCGCCCAGGCTCAACTCCCTCGTCGCAATGCCGTGCGACGCCCGTGGCCTCGCTGCCTGCTCGTCGCATCGCTTCGCGCGCGCACTGCTCGCTCGCTAGCGTCGCACACATCGCCTCGTGGCAACGCTGCGACTCGCGCCGAGCGACTCATCTACGGTAAGCCGCAGACGCTGCCACTCTTCAACGTAACCTTCGAACTACGAGAGGCGAAAGGGATGAACTGGACGGAAGCAGCAAAGACGGCAATGCTTTGTGAAAAGGTAACGGCTGGCGGGTTTTTAGCTTCTCGCGGATTCGAAACGAGTTTCTCGAATCTGTATTCTCTCATGGGCCTGCACCCCGCTCCCCAACGCGTCACCCTCCCAACCACACACTCTCTTTCCCTCCTATACACCCCCACCCTCTCACCTTTCCCCTATCCTACCCACATGCATCTCCGGCGGGGCAGCGTTGCGCGGCCCGGGGCGGTGCGGGCGGCAGCGGACGAGGAGGTGGAGGAGGAGCTCATGATGATCGAGGAGAGCGCGGTGAGTGGCGCGGAGAGCGCGGTGAGTGGCGCGGAGAGCGCGGTGAGTGCAGCCCTGGGCGCGGTGAGGAGAGCGCGGTGAGTGGCGGGACCAGTGCACCCGTGCTTGCCAGGGGAGGGTGTGGCGCTTGGCGAGCTTGCAACACAAAGGCAGCACGGCAGGGTTGAAGACTTACATAATAACCGGGCCGCCATTCTTCAGCAGGGTTTAGGCTTGTTTTGAGACGTCTCAAAACACTCCTTTTTTCACGTGGATTCTTCAGCAGGGTGTAGGGTTGTATCTGGCATCACCAACGACTTTTGAGGCGCCTCAAAAGTTCTTCAGCAGGGTTTAGGCTTGTTTTGAGACGTCTTCTTGTTTTGAGCAGGGTTTTCACGTGGATTCTTCAGCAGGGTCTAGGGTTGTATCTGGCATCACCAACGCACAGGCAACGCTTGGCACTCCCCTCGCTCTCGCCTCCTTCCATCCACCACCCTCCCTCCCTCTCCCTCGTTCAACTCCTTCACTCTGCTGCTCACTCACCTCCCTTCACCGCCCTGGCACTCCTCGTATTGCCCACCCTGCCACACTACCATGATTCACTGCGGTGCAACGCGGTGCAGATGGAGCGCATGGAGAAGACGTTGGACAGCGTGAGGGGCAACTTCAACACGGTCAGAACGGGGCGAGCCAGCCCCTCCCTGCTGGACCGCATCGAGGTGAGCCCTGCTGGACCGCATCGAGGTGAGCCCTGCTGGACCGCATCGAGGTGAGCCCTGCTGGACCGCATCGAGGTGAGCCCTGCTGGACCGCATCGAGGTGAGCCCTGCTGGACAGCATCGAGGTGATCCCCTCCCGCTCCTTACGCCTTCCTACCTCTCGCTCCCACTCTTGGTCTCGTTCTCCTCTTCCCTGTGCTGTGCCTCTTTGCACCTACAATCTGGCTTCTGCCTTCAGTTGCTTCTGTGCCTTGCTGGCTGCTCTATGTGCCACGTGTACCCCTCCCATCGCCACGTGTACCCCTCCCATCGCCACGTGTACCCCTCCCATCGCCACGTGTGTCCCTCCCATGGCCTGCGGTACCCCCAGGTGGAGTATTACGGCGCGAGTGTGATTCTAAAGAGCATCGCTCAGATCGCTGCCCCTGACGGCTCCATGCTGCTCGTCACGCCCTTTGACAAATCCAGGTGCCATTTCTTCAAACCCCTCCTCCTCCACCCTCCCCTCTCCAACCCCCCACTTCTCACTTTGCCACAATTTCTGCAGCCGTCCTAAGCACTTCAGCACACTCCCCCACACCTTTCCCCCACATCCCCCCACCCCCTCCCCTTTCTACCCAGCATCCCGTCCATAGAGAAGGCGATTATGAAGTCAGACGTGGACCTCACACCCAGTCAACTCGATTATGAAGTCAGACGTGGGCCTCACACCCAGTCAACTCGATTATGAAGTCAGACGTGGACCTCACACCCAGTCAACTCGATTATGAAGTCAGACGTGGACCTCACACCCAGTCAACTCGATTATGAAGTCAGAAGTGGACCTCACACCCAGTCAACTCGATTATGAAGTCAGACGTGGACCTCACACCCAGTCAACTCGATTATGAAGTCAGACGTGGGCCTCACACCCAGTCAACTCGATTATGAAGTCAGACGTGGGCCTCACACCCAATCAACTCGATTATAAAGTCAGACGTGGACCTCACACCCCCCGCACCTTCCCCACCTGCCTCGCATCCCTCCTCCCCTCCCCTAACCCCCCTCTCTCCCTCCCCTAACCCCCCCCTCCCATCCGCCCAGCATCCCGTCCATCGAGAAGGCGATCATGAAGTCGGACGTGGGCCTCACGCCCTCGTCCGACGGCAACGTCATCCGCCTCTCCATCCCGCAGCTCACCGCCGAGCGCCGCAAGGTACGAGCGTGCAAGGTGGTTGCTGTCAGCAGCTGAGGGGCTTGTCACGCCCTCCTCGGACGGCAACGTCATCTGCCTCTCCATCCCGCAGCTCACCGCCGAGCGCCGCAAGGTGCTGTGCTGTGCTGTGCTGTGCTTTGCTGCCTCCCGAGGGCCACATACGCACTACATACAGACTCTCTTTTGAGGCGCCTCAAAAGTTGTGCTTTGCTGCCTCCCGAGGGCCACATACGCACTACATACAGACTCTCTTTTGAGGCGCCTCAAAAGTTGTGCTTTGCTGCCTCCCGAGGGCCACATACGCACTACATACAGACTCTCTTTTGAGGCGCCTCAAAAGTTGTGCTTTGCTGCCTCCCGAGGGCCACATACGCACTACATACAGACTCTCTTTTGAGGCGCCTCAAAAGTTGTGCTTTGCTGCCTCCCGAGGGCCACATACGCACTACATACAGACTCTCTTTTGAGGCGCCTCAAAAGTTGTGCTTTGCTGCCTCCCGAGGGCCACATACGCACTACATACAGACTCTCTTTTGAGGCGCCTCAAAAGTTGTGCTTTGCTGCCTCCCGAGGGCCACATACGCACTACATACAGACTCTCTTTTGAGGCGCCTCAAAAGTTGTGCTTTGCTGCCTCCCGAGGGCCACATACGCACTACATACAGACTCTCTACACCCTGACATCCTCCGTTATATGTTCAGTAAAAATCTGAGACAGTGGGAATGAGGTAGCGTAATAATAGGCAGTAGCATAGAGACAACCGAAACGTGGCTGAGGGAGGGCAGTGGTGGGGGGATGGTGAGAAGGAGCAGGACATGAGAGGTGGTTGCTGTCGCCAGCCGATGGACTTGTGATGCCATGCCCAAAATTCCTCTTCTCTCCCTTCCGCCTTGCCATGGCGTGGTGTGGGCACTGCATGTCATGGCATGGAGTGGCATGGCATTGCACATGCATGTCGTGGCTTGATACTTGGACGGCATGTGCATGGGCATGGCATGTGTGGTGCACGGGTGGGCGTGGCATGGGCTTGTGCACGGCCGGCCATGGCATGGCATGGCATGGCATGGGCATGTCATGGGAATGTGTTTGGGTGGGCATGGCGGCAACAGGAGCTGCTGAAGACGGTGTCAAAGCTGTCTGAGGATGGCAAGGTGAGCCATGAAAGGGATGCAGGCCAAGTGTGCTTTCATGAATCCATTCATCCACGACTCACACCCATGCCCACACCACACCCAAAAGCAAACAGCTTTGCTGAAGCATGACACAAGGCTCTCTCACGAATGCCCTTCACCACCCCCGCTGCACCTGCCACCTGCACCCTGGGCACCCTGCCCCACCCACTCGCCCCCTCACCCCGCTGGCCCCTCTGCCCCGCCTGCTCCTCTGTCCCCACCTGTAATCGTGGCCCCCCTTTTCCCCCCTCATACCGACGCATGGCCACCAGGTGGCACTGCGCAACGTGCGCCGGGACTCCATCAAGGCCTACGAGAAGCTGCAGAAGGTGCCGCCTGCCTGGACCACCGCATTTGGCATCGCTCTTGACAATCATTTTTTTCTAGAGTCACCTGCCTGCTCCACCCCTCTCAACGCGCCTTCCTTTACACACACCGTGACTAAGATGCCTGCAGCCTGCCTGCGCTTCTGCTGCATGCGCTGCATGCCACATGTACCGCCCTGCCCTAAACCCGAAACCATCTTGCACGAGCCGTTTACTACCGCATGCTATCTGCAAAGGGCAGCTTCTTGTTTGCCGTGTCTCTTATCATCTCTTTTTATCACATGCCACATGTCATGCCCCCATTGGTGCATGGCAGGAGAAGAAGATCTCAGAGGATGCTCTCAAGGACCTTTCAAACGACATCCAGGTGACGTGGCATGCTAGGATTGGCCAGCATTACCCGCCATGCAGGCACCCACACAGCTTCCTCACAACCTCTGCTGACTCAACCCTTCCTGCTCCTAGCTGTCAGGCAACTCACATTCCTGACCCTCTGCTTCTGTTTACCCCACTCGCTTCGGACACCCCTCTCCCCCCCCCTTTCCCCCCTCCCTCTTTTCTGTCTTGCTACACCTTCCGCCCCCTTGCCCACGCGTGCGTGTGAGCAGAAGATGACGGATGACTATGTGAAGCAGATCGACACGGCCTTCAAGCAAAAGGAGAAGGTCCGTGCCACACCCACCCGCCCACACATCTGCAGTGCAGTGCAGGAGGCTCCGTACCTTGATGTTTGTTTTCCTTTCTTCAAGTTGATCTTTGGAGGTAGATCCTCCAAATGCCTGCTCCCACGCCACGTCAGGGATTGCACCGAACAACCGCACCTCTGCACCCCTTTCCATCCATCTCCGCCGTCCCTCCCCCTCAGGACCTGCTCACAGTGTGAGTGGCTGTGACATGACAAGCAACTGAGAGGCCTACGCACAAACAAACACACGACTCAGCGCCAAACAATCATGCCCCTGATTCCATCCGTGCTGCACCGCTGCTGCTCTGCACCTCTGCTGCCAAACGCCCATTCAGATGCACTTGCTGTGGGCAGTAGGACTAGCCTAGCCTTGATTCGTTTACCAGCTCCCAAGGCCGAATGGCGTGAACAGAGTCTTCTAGAATCTCCTCTTGTAACTCATGGGTGTCTCACAGGCATCCACCATGGTTTCAGATAACCGTCGCTGTTTATCAACCCTGTTTTGAATGATGCTGAACGGAAAGGGAGGAACCGCTTTCGTGGAAGATTGAACAAAAGTTGGGCCATGTTTTTGGCTATGGAGGCATTCCAGAAGCTCTTGCTACAATAATGCTTAGGGATTAGCCACAGCTTTACACTGGAAATGAAATGAACTGAGCAGATTTCAGAAATGGACATTAGATTAAAATCAATAAATCAGGCAGTAAAGAACACACTATCTACCAGTTGTTTGTTGAGGGGCAGTAACGGGGGCGTGGCAATGTGTGAGGGAGAAGAAGGTACATCGCCCCACCCTCTCCTCGTTCCCCGACACACACCGGTCCAGATGGAACGACCTTCCAGACAGCCACCGCTGCACCTCCCCCAGCTCCGCCTCCCCCCGCCACTTAGCTAAGAGCGGGTCATCCGGCAGCAAGAACGCATCCAGCTCCTCCAACTCCTTGCTCGCATCTGCCCCTCCTTGATCTACCCCATGCTCGCCCTCTTGCCCCTCCCCTTGCAGCGCCCCTTGCCCCACTTGCTGCAACCGCCTCCCTCCCATCCCACCCATCCCCCCCATTCCCCCCATCCTCCCCCCAACCCTTCCTCCATCAGCGCTCCGCTCACCGCCACCCTCCACAACCCCCTCCCCGCCCCGCTCCCCGCCCATCCCACCCCTGTCCCTGAGCTGCGCCAGCACGCCCTCCCCCGCACCCTCCACGTCCACCAGCAGCTGGCACGTGCTCAGGCCGCGGGATAGCAGCACTTGCAGGTCTGGTAGGCGCCCCGCTCCCACCTGGTTGCGGGGTGAAGGGTTGGGTTGGGAGGGGAGCAGTAGTGAGGGAAGAGTGTTCTTATGCTCTGCCCCCGTGCCCTCCAGATCCACGGCAGCTGGCACACGCGCAGCTCACACGTCAGCAGTGCTTGCAACTGCAGCAAGCTTGCACGTGTAAGGCGGGCATGGTTCCTCCCAGGTGTGCACATGCAATGCTCATGTAACGCTCATGTAATGCATATTGACACTCACTCGAATGAGGTCCACGTGCTTGGACGCCCCTGCAGCCCAGAGCACATGGTCCGCATCTACAGCAGCACCTCCCCTCCCCACCACCTCCTCCTTTGCTTTTATCCGCCTCACCGCCGCTTCAAACGCCGCCTTGTACTGTGCACCCAATTCCCTGCCTGCCACTGCTGACTGCTGCTGGGCGGCAGCGTCGGCAGTTTGGGCGGCAGTGGCAGTGGGTTGGGCGGGCGGTTTTGGCAGCATTAGGAGGCGCATGGAGGGCAGGGCGGAAAGCAGGTGGGCGTCCCAGAGGAGGTCGGCGGAGGGCGGTGTGGCAGGCAGGGACACAGCAATGCTGCACGGAGGGGAGGAGGGTAAGGGGGAGAGGGCGTGACAGCGGTGATGGGGATTGCGGGGGATCAAGGGAGTGAGGCAAAGGTGAGTGGGATCAGAAAACGACCTTCGGGCTGGACAGCCGGCATGAACAGAATGTTGGCTGCAATGCAGTGCAATGCACTGCGGTGCAGTGCGTCAGTCCTGATCTATTAAGCCAAGCACGCACCTGTGGTTGAAAGCGTAGAGGTAAGTCAGGAAGGCAGACCAGCTGCCAGAGCGCCCTGTGCCAAATGCGCCAAACACCGTTGCCTTCCCCAGCCCATGCCGCACACACAGCACTGCTGGTGCAGGCGCCCGCCACCCCTCCCTCCTCACTGCCTCCCGCCACGCCACCTCTGCCGCCTCCTCCTCTGCTGCTGCTGCTGCTGCTGTCTCCTCTTCCTTCCCGCCTTGCTCTTGCCCACTCGCAACCCTAAACCCTGGCCTCCCTCCCAGCCGCCCCAGCAGGTGCTGCCACAGGGAGGTTTGGCCTGGCCGGTTAGAGGCTAATGCTTGCTGTTCTCGTTCTTGTTCTTGCTCTTGTTGTTCTTGTTGTTCTTGTTCTTGTTGTTGTTGTTGTTGTTGAGGGGTGAGGAGAGCACGGCGAGCCGGTAGGGCTGTCAACGAGGCTAACGGGTTGGTTCGGCGCCGAACCTCGAGAGACAGCTGAGGTGAGGAAAGAAGGGAATGATGAGGCGGGGATATGCGAGATGGAGGAGGGAAAGCACGAGCGATGAGGAGGGATGGATGCATGTAAGTGTGTGAACCAACTCTCCACACAAGTCACCCCCACCCACCTCTGCATCATGGCCCCCACCATCTCTGCCTGCCCCATGACCCCCACCCACCTGAGCCACCTGCACCTCGCACCCCTCTCTGCCGCCCTCCACCGCAGCCATCACTGCCTGCCGCCCCGCCGCCAGCCGCTCCGGCACATGCCGGTCAAACTGCACCGCCCAGTCCGCCGCCCACGGGCCCGTCTGCTCGCAGAACGGGTTGGGCGGCGGCTCGTGCTGGCAGGGGCGGCAGTAGTCGCCCCCGCGGCGGTTGCGGAGGTTGGGGAGGGCGAGCATTTTGAAGAACTGGTGGTGTGACACGAGGCAGAAGGGGAAGTGCGCTCGCGTGACTGACACGTTGAGGCGCTGCAGCATGCGCGCGTACACCGTCTCCGCGTTCACTCGCCTGGGAGGGATATCCAAGTAGGGACGAGGGAACGGGAGTGTGGAGGGGAGAGGGAGTGAGCAGTTGAGTGGAAGAGGGTGGACGACCCACCATTGCAGAGGGTGATGGGCTGCTGTGAGCGCATGCAAGTGGGAATCATAGCGGCACAGAGAATGGCTTAACAGCAATGAGGAGAAAAGCCCAGCAGCCCTACTTGCCAGCTTCGCCACCGCCCTCGCTCACAGCTCCCAGCATGTGCAGCCGCGCGAACACCGCCCGGCCCGCCGCCCGCGGCACCACCGCCAGCCTGTCATTCACCCCACCGAAATCCAACCCGGGCGGCGCCGTCAAGCTCCGATACTCCAAGCCGCCCAGCGGCGCGGGCGGCGCCGCCCAGAAAGAGTCCGGGCGGGCCTTCATGAGCCACTTGTAGCGGCGGCTGTAGTGCCGTTCTCTCTCAGCGATGTCAGCGGCGCACATGGCTTCCATGCTGAACTGCTGTAGCAGCCCCTGTGGCCCGTTCTCCAGTCCCTTGAGCGCGTGTGTGGGGTACAGCGCCTCGTTCACGTTGAAGTCCGGAAACACTCGCACTGACACCAGCCTTGGGCCTCCCAATCCTCCTCCTCCCCCTCTCCCCGCCTCCCCTTGCTGCGTGACGTTTTCTTCCCTGGCTCCCCCGGCTCCCTGCGCCCCCTCCGCCCACCCCATCCCCCTGAGGGCGAGGAGCTTGGCGGAGTTCTCATCGAGGGGCGTCACCACAAACACGTCTGCCTGCCCGTACCCCTCAACCCCCACCAGATTCGCCGCTATGGATGGCCCGGTCAGCTCAAACGTTCGCAGCTGCCCGACAAGGCACAGCGCCATGGAGTCCTCCGGCCAGGGCAGCTCAAAATCTGCAGCAGGCGCTGCTGCTTCTGCTGCTGCTACTGTTGACAGCCCTGGTGTGGGGGTCTGGACGAGGTATTGTATGGGGAATGCAGGGGGGGTGAGAAATGATGGATGGAGAGGGGAGAGGTGGATGGGGTGGTGTGAGAGATCGACGGTTAGTGTGTGGTAGGAACGTGGCGTCCCTTGCTCTGCTTGCAGGTGGCACAAGCAGAGCACACAAGCAACGGGTGTGCGCCCCTTGCTCTGCTCTGCTTGCTAACGCTCTTCTCTCCCTCGCACACTCGTCCCTGCTCCGGCACCTTCCACCAGTCGCCTTGCATCACCTCACTGCACCTCACCTCACCACACCTCACCTCACCTCACCTCATCTCACCTCCGTGTGAAGACCCGTGTGGGGCAGGGCAGCATGGGTCACCAGCGATGGTTGCTGGCGGTGCCATGGGTGGGGGGAAGGCGAGAGCAGCGTGGGGGGGTGGGCGTTGAAGGGAGACATATACGAGGATTGGAGTGGAGGATATAGGAGGGTGCAGCGAAGGGGAAGGGGTGAAGGGCATGTCATGTGGGACGTGGGAGGGTGGGGGGAGGGAAACAGCAGTAGGGGTACAAAAGGCGACAGGCACGTTGATACAGCACACACAACCCCTCTCTTCGCCCTTCCCCTCCAAATCGCCCGCTCCCCTCACCTCGCCCTCTGTCTGCGCGCCCCCGTGCGCGTGCAGCCATGGCGGCATCACGCTCGTGAACGCCAGCAGCGGCGTCAGCGCCAACACCGCCACCACCGCCACTACCGCCACCCGCCGCGCCGCGCCCCTCCCCCCGCCTCCCCCGCTCCCCGGACCCCCGCTTCCCCTGCTGCTGGGCTGATCCGCGCCCGCGCTGCTTCCCCCCGCGCCCATCCTGCTTCCCGCGCGGCTGCGCAACTGAAGCGCTCCCCCGACTCCGATACCCCCTGCGCTCCCGCGATAGCCCTCCCGCCCGCGCACTACTGCCGCCGGCTCCGCCAATCCCCGATCCGCCGCGCCCCGCCTGCGCACCTCGGAGTCCCGCGTCGCCGTGCGACGAGGCGACTGCGATTGGACAGGCGACGGCGGCGACGGTAACGGCGACGCTGCGAAACCTTCGCGGCCTCTCGCCACGCGACGACCTGCGACGGACTACAACCGCGAGGATGCGCGGGGGGAAGCGGAGAGGGGAGAAGAGGGAGTTGCGGACGGGCCGGGCGGAAAATGCGGAGAGAAAAAGGGCGCGACAGGGTTGGAAAGAGAGAGCTCACGTGATCGGGCGACGGATCGGCGGAGTGGCGGCGGGGGAAGGGGGAGGTCATGGCGGGCGCGGAGTCATGGCGCGGTGGATACGACGCTGGACGGAGAAAGGCTGGCTGGGGTGTTGGAACGCCAGGCGATACGCATGGCGAATCGGCTGTGGGGTGGGTGGCTGCGTGATTGCCTGCCTGGTTGCTGGCACCGGGGGAGTGGTGGTGGGCGCGAACGCGATACTACGTACTCGGTAAAACAATCAGAACATTCTATCGCACTCTACATTACGTAACACACAAAGAGCGTAAAACATTCCTCTCGTTGAGACCAAGGGGTAACAATTGAACCCTAAACTTGCTCATCCCTGCCTGCATCTCCATAACTAGCCAGAAGTACTTGAGTACGTACGTACGTACGTACGTACTCACACCGGCCTGAGAACAAACTAGGCAGAAAAAAACTAACAGCTGATGAACTGAACATGCTTTGCTATGGCTTTTAGACCTACGGTAACGTGTGGCTGTGTGGCCGGAGCTGGCAGCCAAGGGCTTGGCGTTAGTCCTTGGAGCTTGCATCCTGTTGAATAGAAGAGGCTGCATTGAATGTGGCGAGGAGAGGTTGATTTAAAACAATCCAGGGACCAGGAGCAACTCAAGGGACTGCAGCCATGATTCATCCCTTGCTAGCAGGGTACTGTGTCAGAAGCAGTCAACACAGGGGGACCGCACGCACCTGTGCCCTGCTCTCCTCTTGCCTGCTTTCGCCATTGACACTGCTTCCATCAACTTCCTCCTCCCCTGCCTTCCCTTCTTCACCCTCCTTCCCTCCCTTCACCACCTCCCCCTCTCCACCCCCCTGCCCATCTCTACCATCAGCACCACCACCACCAGCAGCATCAGCGCCATCTGGCGCAGCAGCAGCGGCAGCAGCGTCCTCAGCAATGGCAAGGAGGGGCATGCCGGGGAGGCCAAGGATGGAGGGCAGCCCGTCAGCAGCCACAGTGACGGGGCGCAGCTGCGCCACCGCTGGGGACACCGCCACGCCCGCTGCCACTGCTGCCGCCACCGCTGCTGCTGGGGAGGAGTGGCTCGGCTGGCCTGGCTTGGATTCCGTCAAGGCCTGGTGGGTGAGTAGGGGGGGGCAGGAGGGAGAAAGGCTGAAATATAGTGTGGTGGCCACGGTGACGGGGCGCAGCTGAGCCACCGCTGGGGACACCGCCACGCCCGCTGCCACTGCTGCCGCCACTGCTGCTGCCAGGGAGGAGTGGCTCAGCTGGCCTGGCTTGAACTCCGTCAAGGCCTGGTGGGATGGGTGGGGGGAGGGGGCGGGAGAGGGAAGGGGGAGCGTGTGTGGTTGGAATAGCGTTGGAGAACTGGAGGGGAAAGGCTGACAATGCAATGCGATATGCTGCAGTGCTTTTGAGGGACGTCAGATGGGTTGATGTGTTGTGGGAGGGTGCGGCCGTGACCTCAGGGAGGTGATAATGCTTAGAGCAGTGCGTGTATGTATGCCACCAGTTGATTTTTGAGTCGACTCAAAAATCAACACGCGTGTATGTATGCCACCAGGCAGTACCATTCTCTGGATGTCCCTTTTCTAGGCGCATGAAAGCGCACTGACCTCGGGGAAAGGGGTATACATGCACTTTGACTTGATAGGGCAGGGGGGAGAAGAGTGAGAGTGGTAGGTGCCTACATGTGATGCGGCTCAAGACGGCACGGACCTCGGGGAAATAATTGGAATCCTGCTCGTAGGGCACGGGGCGGTACACATCTGTAGGCAACTACATTTTTATGTGCCGCTCATATGTGGACGGACCTCGGGGAAGAGGTAGATGTACTTGCAGTCCTGCTCGTAGGGCACGGGGCGGTACGCGATGCAGGCGTCACAGAGCTCACAGTTGTACCGGAACTGGCGCTCCACCCCCTTCTCCCTGCCCCCACGTGTAGCACCGCGCACCCACGGCATTGAAGGAGCCATGGGGACGAGAAGCGCACACAGAGAGCGCAAGTGCAGCGGCGAGGAGAATGCAGGGCAGTTGAGGCAGCGTGCGGGCGCAGGCAGCACATGAGCAACGGCGTTGCCGGGGTGGCGATAAGGCATCCCCGGTGTCATTGTTGGGCGGTGAGAACGCGTGCTCCAGGTGACGTCCACACACCAATGCCGCGGTTGCTGCCCATCACAGTCCGCATGTCATGATGCATGCATGCACATTGACATAAGCACATGCAAACGTCAACGCATGCATGCATGCATGTGCAAGCATAAACACATACACACACATACACACAGACACACATACGTGCACACATACACAAGATCCAAATGGGGAGAGGGAGCAGCACAAGAGATGAAGACGCCTGCCCAGCATGTGGTGTGGTGTGGTGTGGTGTGGCGTGGAGGTGAGCGGGAGATAAACTTTTGAGACGTCTCAAAAGTTGTCTACTTACACGAGGTGAGCATGAGATAAAGTGAAAGCAGGGGAGCAAGTAGGACAATAAGACTATGAAAGATAGATGAGTCCCAGGTGGTCACAACCTTACACAATAAGCAGCCACAACAATAAGCACGAAGAACAGTGACTTTTGAGTCGACTCAAAAGTCACCTGAATAAGCAGCCACAACAATAAGCACGAAGAGCAGTAAGCAGCACAGGCAATACTCAACGGGACAGGCATTTAAGCGCTTCTCCCCCCACCTCTTGAGCAGCTTCTGGTCGCCCTTCACAGCCATCATGGTCACCAGATCCGTGGATGCCTCCACCACCCTGCTGCCTTTTGAGACGTCTCAAATGAGTGCATGTGGCCCCACCCTCCACCCACCTCTTGAGCAGCTTCTGGCCGCCCTTCACGGCCATCATGGTCACCAGATCCGTTGCTGCCTCCACCACCCTGCTGCCATCCGTGCGCCTTTCGGGAAGGGCTGACAGCGGGCGCGCTGCGAGGCATTGATGCCATTGCAGGCAAGGGAGAGAGGGTGGGGAGAGGGGGGGAGGGGCATTGAAGAATGCAAGGGGACTCAGCGTGTGGCCGCCTCCACCACCCTGCTGCCATCCGTGCGCCACTCTGGCAGGGCTGACAGCGGGGGCGCTGCACGGAAGTCATGCGGTTGCAGGCGGTGGGGGGAGAGGGGGGGGGGGGGGGGGGCATTGAGGTGCGAGAGGGGAATCAGCCCGTATAGGCAACCCCCCACGTCAGCAGGGCCCGTATAGGCAACCCTCCACCCTGCTGACGTCCGTGCGCAGCTCAGGAGGGCCACTGCGGAGCAGAAAAGGACAGGCGGGGGAAGCGGAGCCACGTGAAAGAAGGAGTGTTTTGAGACGTCTCAAAACAGAAAAGGACAGGTGGGGGAAGCGGAGACGAGAGGAGGGAGGGGCGGGGGCAGACAGGGAGTGCGACGAGAGAAAGGGAGTGAAGGTAACAGTGGAAAAACAGATGACCAATGCAAATGCTTGGGTCGCAATGTGGAACGGAAGCGAGAGATGGAAATGCGTGGAGACGAGCTTGACCAGCTGTGCCAAATGAAGTGACAATGAGTGGAGAAGAGCTTTTGAGACGTCTCAAAAGGTTTTTATATTGATAGAGCTTGACCAGCTGTGCCAAATGAACTGGGACAACTCACACCTAGACTCAACCAGCAGGCGTCCACCCCATCATCCTCCCATGCTAAGAGAACCATGCGACACAAGTGGCAGTGACAGCAGCGAGAACTCACCGAGTTTGAAGCAGAAGTGGTTGCAGGCGGCGCAGCGGTAGAGCACGCGGGAGAGGTCCGCCTCCGCCTTGCGCTGCCGCTCCTCCACGCGCTGCCTCATGCTCCACCCGCCCTTCTCCTCCCCGTCGTCCTGCCACACGAGGGGGAGGGGAAAATGGGTGAGGGGAACGGCACGGTGAGATTGGTATTAGGGCGTATCTTTGGTTCGGGTCATGCACTGTTTGGGTCATCCGAGATTCTTGGAAGGCCAATCAGGCGCATTTTAGTGAACATACTCGAAAACCATTGGTCCTCCCATGACCCAAAGTGTACTGATGACCCAAAGTGGCCTTATGACCCGAACCAAAGATACGCCCTAAGAGTTGACCGGAACAAAAGTGGGAGTCAGGGACAGGGACAGGGGTTGGAAGGGGCAGGAGAAGCTGAACTTGACCCTAAACCCTAAACCCTAAACCCTAAGTGGATGAAGGAAAGAGTGGCTCACTACACCTTGTCGTAGCTGACGAGCAGCCCATCGTGGTGCGGCTTGAACTTGTGCCCGTTGGTCTTCCACATCGCTGCTGTCGCCTGCCGGGCCAAGCATGCAAGGCGGTGGGGGGGGCCGTGTATGAGAGGCGAGAAGAGGGAAGATTGGGAAGCTGCCTGTTGGTCTTCCACAAGGAAGCAGTAGAAGTGTCACGAGAAGAGATGGATGGTGAGGTGGTGGTTGGCGTGGGCAGGTGCAGCGAGAGACGAGTAGATGCAGAGAGGTGCGGCATGGGAACCAGCAGCACCACGACTAACAGGGCACACACTGTGCAGCAGGAATTGCACCCACTGGTGACAGACAGTGGCACGGACAGCAGTGAAGGGCGCACGATGAGCAAAAAGAGGTACCAAGGGAGCATATAGCAGGCTGATGTGCCAAGGGTTCACAAGCTACCAGCCTCTCACTCACACGCTACTAACATCCCAGTTACTGCTGCTAGCCTGCAACTACTGGCCAGCATCCCACTCACATGCTGCTTCTCGTCAAAGTCAACGAAGCACATGCTGCGCACCTGCACACCACGTGCAGAGACCAGATTATGATGAGCGCATGTGACGTACAAGACATGTTACAGTACACACATGGCAGCGCCTGCATGAGTTGCTTGGAGCAGAAAGGGCGAGTCAGATGCATTTCGGGTTCACAGCGGTGTGAAACACAAGAGGATACGAAAGCAGGATTCAACAGCAAGCGACTCGTTGAAAGCAAGCATCGACAGCAGCAGCAGCAGCAGCAGCAGCAGCAGCAGCAGCAGCAGCAGCAGCAGCAGCAGCAGCAGCAGCAGCAGCAGCAGCAGCAGCAGCAGCAGCAGCAGCAGCAGCAGCAGCAGCAGCAGCAGCAGCAGGAGCAGCAGCAGCAGCAGCAGCAGCAGCAGCAGCAGCAGCAGCAGCAGCAGCAGCAGCAGAAGCAGCAGCAGAAGCAGCAGCAGAATGGCATCTCACCCGACGAAAGGCAATAAAGCCCTCCAGATGGCGAAAGAGCTGTGCAACGAGAGTGAGTCCACATCACATGCCCAGGGCGAGGTGGACACACAGACGAGGGGTGGAGGGCGAAGGAAGGGGAATAGGAGAGGAAAGAGGGGGAGGAGGGTGGGAGAGGGAACAGAGGAGGGTAAAGAGACTGAGTTGCACATCATCGCACAGCTCCTGCACCAGTGTGTGTGAACGGTGCAAGGTTAGCAAGCATGCGGTAGCGTGTGCTACGAGCGTGCAGCGTGGGCTGGCGCAAGGCACAGACTTAGCTACAGCTCAGTCGGCACAGGGAAAGGGAGACACGTGTACCAAATCGTTGCTCTCTTGATTGCTCGCGCGCATCGCTCTCGCACGCACAGTCCGTCGGTCAGGCAGGATCAAGAAACGGCCCGGCGATCCCATGTGGAAAACAGCGCGATCTCGCGGCCAGCATAGGTAAAAAAAAAATATTCTGGCCACAATTGTTCCGGTGCAGTACACCCAAACACGTTGAACGCTGGAGCGGGACATAAATAAAAAATATTCCCGCAACGTCCCGGCGTTGATCCCGCGGTGCGCTCACCCCTTCGAGCTGCTCCGTGGAGGCGCCGGGCGGCACGTTGGTGATGTAGAGCGTGCGCGACGGGTTCACCCACGTCTTCTCCTTGAACGTGCTCTTCTTCCCCTTTATCCCCGCCGCGCGCGCCGCCTCCTCCGACAGGCCGCCATAGTTAATGCTTCCGCCACTCATGGCTGTAGTAGTCGTGTTCACGATGCGGGACGATTTGGATGGCGCTGAGACGCTGACTGCGGCACGTCGAGCTCCCAAAGAGGATCAGGTTTGCGACCCTGCGCAGTTGCAGGGTTTTGTGGTTTCCTCGTTACGTTGCGGTAGTGCACGGTAACTTGGTTCATACGCAATACAACAAGCTTAATGTAGCATGAAAACACAAGCTTATTTATGATAACGGTCTGAATCCACACTTACGCGATATTGTCTAACAGAGCCATTAGTCAACGGGGGTAGCTCGATTCGCTCGTACCATATTGTGCTTTCCGTGCGTAGTGTTCCCTGGGTGCTTGCAAATTGGCCAGAGGCGTGTGCCTACTCTAGGTCTGTCAACTGACAGTTGGGGGTGGCGGGGGAAGAGGCGATGTTTGCAGAGTATCTCACCACCTCGAGGGGGGCGGAGCTTCTTGACCCTTGGTTTGCCAAGGCTATTGAGCAGCTGCCATCGACTATACGCCAGGAGATGCCGGGTTTACCTCTGTGTGCAGCGGCTCCCCCTCTTCGACTTTTCCAGGCGCGGCAGCGGCAGTTGGCTGTAGAGGAGCTCCAGGCACTGCGCCGCTCGGCTCGTGACGATGCCACCCTGGCCCGTTTCACATCCCTTCAGGGCCCGGGGGCTGGTGCATGGGTTTCGGCGGTCCCGGCTCACTCAGATCTCACATTCACTGCGGCGGAGTGGGGCATTGCTGCTGCTATACGGCTCGGTCTCCCAATTCAGCAGCTGCAGGTCGCGAGGAGGTGTGTTTGTGGCGCAGCGTATGTTGACCCAGCAGACCCGCATCATGCCTTGAGATGCAAGCACCAGCATGGTCCATCTCGGGTGCATGATGAGGTGAAATTTGCGGTGGCGAGGATCTCTAAGGCGTCAGGGGGGGTGGTGACGATGGAGGATGGTGTGGTGCTGCCGGGGAAGCGGGTTGACGTGGCGGTGCGACGACCAATGGCCGGGGAGGCCCACGCTCTAGAGATCAGCGTCGCGGACCAGCTATCGCTGTCCCCATCTCTGCTAGGGCAGTGTGGTCGTTCTATTGGTGTGGCGGCAAGGGAGTGGGAGCGTCGCAAAACGAGTGATTACGCGCCTCTGCTTGCGCGCAACCGGGGCGTGCAGTTCACTCCGTTGATAGTAGAGACGTGGGGATGTCTTGGCGGGCGTTTCCGGCAGTGGCTTCGACGACAGGGGGATGCACACGTGGGGCTAGCCGTGTCACGGGGGGCTTGTCGGGAGGATGACTTTTCGTTTTCGGCTTATCTTTTGTGGTCTCTAAAGGCGCTCATTGGGGTAGCGTTACAACGGGCGCAAGCTCGTGTCATCCTGCTTCGAGCGGCGTCTTCTATAGGGGGGATGAATGTGGACTTGGTGGACCGGGAGAAGGACGACGTCGAGGAGGAGGGTGGGGCTCTTTGGGTGGAGGCCCCGTATATGGTGGATGCGCAAATGTGAAATGGAGTGCGGGATAGGGTGTGTTGATGGGGTGTCCTGACTGGGTGTTCAGTTTGGGTTTTTTGATGAGGTTTTTTAAGGGTGTTGCATTTGCTTACGTGGCGAAGAAGGTATGTGCTTATAGGACATAAGTAAGCTTATCAGATAGGTATACCGTAAGGCTACAATACATAGTACTACACTAACCAAAAAAAAAAAAAAAAACAAGAGGCGACGAAATCGTCTTAGGGTTGCGAAGCAACAATTGTAACATGCGTTTGAAGTTTGAATGACCTTAATGTTGTCGTTATATTTGGATTAAAAAAATTACGTGTTCTTTTATCTTTTGAGACGAAACTCGATTTCGTATGGTTTTTTTTTTTTTCCTTTTTTGTTCCACCTTGAACCAAATTGATGATGATGGTTTGTATACATGATAGGGCTGGGATATAATGGAAGTATACAAACAGAAATAGTTGTAGATCTGTTTTTTATATTTCCAGTTATCAATCGTTTTCACCAGGGAGAGTGCTGCTGCCTTCATTGCGCGATGACGTCAGCAGCGTTGATTAGATACTACGCAAAAATATCCTAGCGTTGAAGCTGACGTTATTAAGAAACTCCCGAGAAATTTCGAGAGACACAGCTGACGTCAGCTGCAATTGTTTGCGCGCGACACCTCGGGCGACGCAGCTGACGTCAGCTGCAATTTGTGACGTCGCTGCAATTCGAACGTCGCTGCTGACGTCAGCCCGAAATTTCTTGCGCGCGAAATTTCAGGCGACGCTGTTGATGTCAGCCCGCAATTACATCGCGTGCGACTTTAGTGGTTGCAAGGCTGCCCAACTGTTTCTAACTGTTTCGAGAGTAAGAAACACCACAGCATTTTGACAGCTGTCAAAACGGTGACAGTTTTTTGACAGCTGTAAAAACAGTGCTCAAAGGAATAACACCAGTTGATGTTTTTGTTTCTGCCTGCTGTCTGCACTGTTGACGCGGTTTCAAGGTGTCGTTTTCTACGGTAGTAACTCTAAAAATCAGGACCGATCTGATTGTGGAAAGATCCGATTCCAACTGTTTCAGTTTCATATGCCATGCTATCTCTAGTGCCATAAACTGTCAGAATCCCAACCACTAGACCATTGGGATAAAAGGGCTTGTTTCAGTAGCGGGTCAGTGCGCCCATAACCCCCCAGGCAAACGCGCCTGTAACCCTTCCCTAGGATCAATCGGGGATCACCAGTGGACCTCTGACACCCCCCCGCACTGGGATGCCCGAAGTGCATACACCGGGATACGAACCCGAGACCTTCGCTCTGATACCATGTCAGAATCCCAACCACTAGACCATTGGGATAAAAGGGCTTGTTTCAGTAGCGGGTCAGAGCGCCCATAACCCCCCAGACAAACGCGCCTGTAACCCTTCCCTAGGATCAATCGGGGATCACCAGTGGACCTCTGACATAAACTACAAAGGCCAACTTGTTATGAAATTGACTGTGGCTGAGACCCATTTCACTACAAAGGCCAACTTGTTATGAACTATGAACTAGAAACAAAACAAACAGCATTGTTCAATTGGCTGTTTTGTTTCTAGCTCAATGCTTCCAACTGTTTTTTTTTGTTTCCACTGCACAGTAACAATTCTCTTACCATTGGTCAACTTTGTATCCAATCAAGAAAGGCTCTTCCACTTCTCCCTTCCCAAAGCAAACCCTCTAGCCCTTTCTCCCTTTCTTTCCCATCCTTCTCTTTCTCAAACCAAACTCCACATTTTCTTGGAGCTTGTTTCATTGTTCTTCCTCACAACACATTCAAGCTCTCTTCTATCTAGTGATAACTCTTCAAGCTCTGTTAGTGGTCACATTCAAGGTACCTAGTGATAACTCTTCAAGCTCTCTTTTATCTAGTGATAACTCTTCTTGGTTCTCTCTTGCTACCTATTAAGTGAGTTGAGATATTCTCTTCTTTAGTTAACTACTCTATTTCAAACTCTTCCAGCTACTCTCAACTTTGATCACTTTTCAGAGTGTACCCTAGCATATCTATCTAGAAGAAAGTCGAGCTCAATTCTTGTATGTTTTTATTATCCTCATGCATTGACTTCTATGTTTTTGCATTTACCAACATACACTCCAACACCTTGTTTTTGTTATTCCTGGACGTGCTTCTTATCAGGCATCAACAATTGGTTTACATCATTAACTTAACTCTAGGCTGCACCGAGCTCAAAGTCTGCATTTGAAGTTTTGTCAGATGATTATATTACTGATGCATATATTTAGGCTGTAGTGGGGTAGCCCATAAGGGGTACAACCCAATTAGGGTTGGTACTTGTACTTGTTTCATTTCATAGTGCACTCATTCCTCGCCTCTATCTCAACAAGTTTTTGTGGTAATATAGTGAAATTGCTTGTTTGTTAATGTTTTTTTCAAACGTTTTCTTATTTTTATTTTGTCTAACAATCTTCTAGGTCTTATGGACAGTGATGTTGTTCTTCATTATGTTATTTATGAGAAGAAGCAAACGAGAATGAATCAACTATGAATGAAGTGAGTACAAATATGAAACCCTAATTGGGTTGTACCCCCTATGGGATACCCCACTATAGCCTACACAAATAAGTAAGCTATAATGTTCTGACACACCCCCATAGGCAAAGTGGGGGAGAACAAGGGGTCACAAGACCAGTCAAGCAAAGCAAAGCAAAGCTCAGGGTGGATCACAAAGTCACCACACATTCCGAGCGCAAGGTCAAGGGCCACAAGGCCAGTTCGCATGCAAGATCATATATAGAGATATACAAGAGTCAAGCAAGCAAGAGCAAGAGTATATATAGGTCAAGGTACAACCAAGGTCAAGAAGTGAGCAAGTGAGGCAAGACAGGCACAAGACCCAGCTGCGTGCAGCAACGCTGATGATCACAAGGAGCAAGGGCCTTGGTGAAGACATCAGCATTCTTGGCCTCAGAGGCCACGTACGCAAGTCGCAACTGTCCACGCTGCTGCAGCTCACGAGCAAGAAAGTAGCGGAGAGCAATGTGCTTTGTCCTGTGCTCCAGTCGCTGCTCTCGACACAAGGCCAGCATGGCCTTGTTGTCTACGTACAGGACTGGAGGAGAACGAGGCGGCTCTCCAAGGTCGGTCAGCAGGTAGGTGAGCCAGCGAAGCTCCTGAGCAGCCATAGCCCCGGCGTAGATCTCAGCCTCACAACTGGAGCCGAGAACAGAAGACGAGCGAGTAGCCCGCCACGAGACAGAGCCGGAACCAAGGCCGAAGGTGTAACCCTGTGACGACCGCTGCGTAGCCTGGTCGTCAGCCCAAGAAGCGTCCGCGTGCCCAATGAGGACCACTGGACTGCGCCCTCCAAGCACTAGCCCCATGCCCGACGTACTGCACAAGTAGCGCAACACCCTCTTCGCTGCAGCCATGTGCTCTGGTCGGTGTCTCCCAGGAGCAACATAGCGTGCGAGAATGCTGAGAGGGTATGCAAGGTCAGGTCGTGTGCAGGTCATCAGGTACAAGAGGCAGCCAACAAGCTCTGCATACGGGCCACTCGACTCTACGGACTCATCCGAAGGCAGAGCTGAGAGCGAGTGGCGAGTAGGCAGAGGAGTGGCCTGAGGCGAGGAGTACGTGAAGCCGAAGCGCTGAAGGACCTGCTGCACCATGTGTGACTGAGTCAGGGTAATGGTGCGGCGTGCTCTGTCCCGGGTGATCTGCAAGCCAAGGTAGCTGCGCAGTTCACCCAGGTCAGTGCACGTGTGTCTCTTCTGCAGCTCGGACTTCACGTAAGCGAGTCCAGCAGTGTCCGCTGTGGCAAAGACCAAGTCGTCGACGTACACGAGGATGTAGAAAGGCGGCAGAGAGGTGTCGGTGCGCAGAAACAGCGACGGGTCGGCAGTAGAAGGAGCAAACCCAAGTGCCGCAAGCGTAGTCCTCAGTGTGTCGTGCCACTCACGTGGCGCCTGGCGGAGACCGTAGACTGGACGCCGGAGACTCGACTGGGTACCAGGAGGGAAAGACCCAGTGAAGCCAGGTGGGCGACGCAGCCAGATCTCCTCGTGCAGGCTGCCCTGCAAGAAAGCTGTGCTGAAGTCGAGAGAGTGCAGCTCGTAGTCACGGTGAGCACCAACGTGCAGCAGTACCCGAAGAGTGGTCATCTTCGGGGTGGGGGAGAAGGTCTGAAAGTAGTCAACCCCCTGCCGCTTACTGAAGCCACGAGCCACGTAACGCGCCTTGAAGACAGGCGGAGAACCCGGCGGCCGCTTCACCCTGAAAATCCACATGCCACTGACGATGTTCGCCCCAGGAGGGGGAACCGCGTCGACGTAGGTGCCTGTGGACTTCCAGGAAGCCATCTCTGCATCCATAGCTGCCTGCCACTGAGAGGAGTAGGGACCCTCTATCGCCTCCGCGTAAGAGCGCGGAGTCGGGATGTCTAGTGCATCCGGGTCTCCCTCAGGGGCTAGCAGTACAGACGCAAGATGAGGTGAAGCGGCGGCCAGACACTGGAACTCCTCCTGCCTGTCCTCAAGGACGTCCGTGCCAAGGGCACACTCACCCCCGACGGACGGAGGACAGGCAGACTCAGACTCAGCGACAAGACTAGCAGCGTAGTCTAGACGACAGCGCGCAGCAAAGTCGACGAGCTCAGTGACAAGGGCAGACGCAGCAGAAGACTCGAAAGAAGGGTCAGTGACAGCAGTAGCAAGAAGACGCATGACAGTAGGACTGGCAGCACGAAGAGAGTCCGACTCCGGGTCGGCAAGAGCAGGAAGAGAGGAAGCAGGAGGAGAAGGCAAAGGGGCACGCAGAGGAGCAGTAGACGGACGCAGAGACATCCGGTGCGTGCCAGGGACAGGAGGAGGACGCTGACGCGAACCACGACCACTAGTGCGCGCAGTACGAACAGGCGACGCAGGACGAGACGCAGGCTCACGACGCTCAGTAAGACCTCCAGTCGGACCAGCGTAGGGAGAAGGAGCAGGCAAAGGTGAGGCAGGCTGTAGCTGTGACTG